ACACTTGATGTACTTGAGTTTTATGGTTGAGAGGTGAGTTCTTGGATTATAAATTTTGGGTCTTAGGGCTTTTTAAGGTTTTGTGATTTTGTTAGATATTTAGCAACATATTAAATTGAAATTAAAATATTTTAGTTTATTTTAGCGTTTCATACTCCTTTTCAATTATAAGAAATGTTTGTACTTTTTCGAATTCGGTATTGATATTTCCAACAATAGTTGAAGAATTCACTTAAAATATGGATAAAGTTGGAAGCTTTATCCATCTAAACATCACGTAGATTCAGATCTGAAAGCTGGAGGCTTGGCCTTAATGGATTAAGTCATGAAAGATGTATTCTTTGACTCTTTGAGACTTAAAGTTTAGATCTTAGTTGTTTGGATCATCCTAATGGATAAAGTTAGAAATTTATCCATTATGAAGCTATTAAGCTCCAAATCTTATGTGATGAGCTTTTATTTGTAATGATTAACATCTTAATGAAGAAAATACATTTTGACCGAAACCACGACATGGTAGCGCACAACAATACGTTTGTTTTGTTTTGACGTGGCCACGATGAGGTTACAAACTCGCCATGGCACGATGATCGTTGATTGTTGATTTTTTTACCAGTTTGCTTTTGAGAAAACTTTGATAGAATCTAGTATTTAGCTAAGGAATAGTCTCGGTTTTGGCATAAGGTGGTTTCGTTAGCTGTTTTGCTGAAAAGGTAGATGTTGAGCTTATGTTTAGTAGTTCACTTGAGTCTTCTCAATATATTTTTTAGAAAGCAAATTGTCGTTGCGACTCTTGGCTGTATGTTAGGCAGGGCCTGTTATGTATGTTGGGTAAGGCCCGTTATATATGTTGGGTAGGTCTTGTTTATGTATGTTGGGCAGGGCCTATTATTTACGTTGGGTGCAACTCGTTACCTTAGTTGGGAGGGGGTTGTTGTGCATGTCGGATGGGGCCCATTTTGTATCTTGGGCGGTGCTTGTTATGTATATTAGGCATGGCTTGTATTGGTATGTGGTATTTTGGGAAAATCACTAAGATTTGTGTTTATGGTTATATGTTTAAATGTTGCAGGTATTTTATCAAAACATGGAAGAGCACGATGTTATTTCATCGCATCCACTGGAGTTTCCGTACAATTTATTTATGATACCTTGACGTCTCGCATTTAAAACTACATTTTAAGCCATGATGATCTTTTTATGAAATGGCTTTTGGTTGGTTTGATTTATGTAAAATTAAAAATTTTTACTTTATATATGGGAGACGTTACAATTTAGTTACATCACAACTTGCTAGTTAGTGCATTATGTGAAAGGCATTGTAACCTCTTGACTTTCTTCGTGAAAGAAGTGACTTTTAAATGATGGAAAAGGTTACTTGTGGTGTTTGTTTCTTACACTTCTTACTTGTAAGAAGCCACCATACTTTCATTTAATACTTCCTTAACTTTGGTATATAACTGGATGTGTAAAAGGATAGTATTACTAGATGAAAAGGTTGGTTCTTTTGCTTTATATTTACTCATTTGGGATGCCAATACCTTGACCGTCTCTCCCTCTCTCACTTTTTGTCTTGCAAAATTTGGTGTTTGATTTAAGAGCTTTATATGTTGCTTCTCTATATGGTTTATTTTGTATACACTCTTAACTCTTAAGAAAAAAAATACATATAGTTAAAGACTAGCGTGTTTTGGTAGTTTACTCTTCCTTGGTGGATACTTGTAGATAACTTCTTTTTTGCAACTTCATGCACCACCTCATCAACTTCCATCTCTCATGAGAGTCAAGGTCTTCAAAGGTTGTAATACTTTAATTTTTATGGTTGTTTTGATTATTCCTTGATTGCACAATTATCATCGGTGGGTTAAAAAGAGTTTTAAGTTTATTCTAATTTTAGACTTTCATTGCCATTTTTAGTGTTTTTGGAAAACTGATTCATAATAAAACCCAACACTATGTACATCTCAATTAGACAGAATACAATATCGTTCATTTGTACT